AGAGGATTTTGTGTTAAAATTTGGCTCTATGGTAATATTTTTTTGCGTTTAGTAATATTCTTTTTAAAATTTGTGACGAATATCCATGGTTTATCATTTGGTTTTACATTAATGTTTCGTGTTGGAATACACTGCTTTGCAAGTTTAAGTATATTGTTTGTAATGAGGAAGCGTAGTTGTTGATAATCGTTATCGGCTTAAATTGATCCCAAATCTGTAGCAGAAATTTTATCTCTAAGTAAATTATAGTCACTTTTGTCATACAGCCATACAAGACGCTTGAAAGACTTAACACAAGGTTTTAAAAACTTAAGAAAGGCATAAATAGGACAATGAAACCTTAGATTCTGGTCTAGAACTGGTTCACCTACCCCAGATTTTAGTCTTATTAGTCAAAATATATTGACGTAGTCCTCTTTTTTTATAAACATGTTTATTAAAGGATAAACAAATACTGTATTTCATTAAAATTTCTATTGTCACCACTCTGTAGTATTATGTGTTCTGAATTTGCTGGGCAGATTTACCTCAAATTTGGTCTGTAGCATCCTTGTGACAGTCACGCTTACATTTGCTTATGTCCTTTCAATTGGCTCCTTTTATGGGTCAACAGAGCTCAAAATAGAAAAACATTTAGACACCTCCTTCTACTACCAAATTTAAGGATTACTAGTATCACCAAAATGTGTCTGTATCATTCTTAGGTAGTCTTCTATCAATTTAAGAATTTAACAAATGTCCTAAAGTTAACTCACAGTTCGAAATTAATTTGTCCACAAATGTCAAATGTTAACAGCAGAATATCAAAAATGCTTCCTTTTACTTAACTTAGGTGACGATATTTCAATTAAGTAGTTTAGTATTCCAGATTGTTCATAGAGAAGAAGATGATTGTTGACGCATGACGACGGAAGACCGACCATCGCCCTTTTAAAAAGCAAGTATAATCTCCAGACTGCAATCTACACATATTATAAGTTTCATAAAAAATATGTCAACCGCTTTTTGCGTTAAAAGTGGATCCAGTTGATGTGTTAAATATGCCATATTTTTAGTATAACCAGAACTTTTAACAAAGGAAGAAACGAAAAAGACGTACATAATCTTCATACTGTCATCTATCTATATAGCAAGTTTTATAAAAACATTTTTAGTACTGTTGCGTATTTTCAGGATCCTGCTTTGTTGATGGACGGAAGGACTGACGGACACATAGACAGGCAGACAGACGGACGTCTTGTCGAAATTGAATAAGGGACCAATGTCAAGGTCATTTTAAGACCAAGGTCAATATGATTTTAATATACTAAGGTCTTGCCCAAACGAATGTTCTGTTATAAAATGAAGTCAATCCATTCCATAATAACAAAATTACAACCAGTTTCAGCCAAAAATGAAAAATTCATTAATTTGACATTCGAGGTCAATGTCAATTATGAGTGAAGGTCAAGGTTTGTCTGTTTACCTTAAAGGGCTATCCTTAAAGATTATTAAGTTCAAGTTTGAAGATAACCCATGTAAAAAACAACAAAGTTATAGCTACTAAAAGCAAGAAACAAGCAAAATTTGGACATTTGATTTTGAAGATCAAGGTCATTTATGAGTGAAGGTCAAGGTCTGTCTAGTCAACTTAACGGTCTATCCTTAGATATTATTATATTAAAGTGTGAAGACAATACATTCAAAAATAATATATATATATAAGTTATAGTCACTTATAGCAAAAATCATTGAAAACAAGCACAATCTAGACATTTAATCTTGAAGGCCAAGGTCATTTATGGATAAAGGTCAAAGTTAGTCTAGTCTACTTGACGTTTTTTCCCAAAGGTTGTTGTGGCCAAGTATGAAGACATTACACCAAGAACTCAAAAAGTTATTATTAACATACAAGTTTGCGGACCGCAACAGCCAAACCGACATGCCTATTACAATAACTTTACTTTTTTCAAAAAACGGTCGAGCTAAAATTGTGGGAGTTTGAAGTAAATCCTTTAAGGAATGAAGAATTTTAAGTAAAAACTAATAAATTCTAATAAAAACATCTCAGTTTAAGGGGGTCATTATTCTGGAAATAGTCAATAGTCAATAGAGTATTGATCTTCTCACAAATTGATACTAAGAAACACATAAAGATGTATCAATGTTGACATAGAAACATAGAGAAATTAAGAAGTTATGAAATAATCTAATGAAAATTTAAGTTCAATGCCGGGGTGGTTATTCTGATAATCTTTGTTCTAGAGTTGTAAACCTTGTCACATATGATGTGGTTGATGATCAGAAACATATATTTGAATTTTGAAGTTAATACTTTTAGAAATAAAGAACAGTAAAAAGCGTAAAAACTTGACCCAGGAATCTTAACGAGGTTGCCAAAGCTTGATGAGTAGAACAGCTCTCAATATACTCCCAATAGTCCCATATTCGGACCTGACTTAGAAATCATCAAAACAACTTTCCCGACCACTTTCCAAAATATCTGGATCAAAACTGTAGCCTATAAAGTGTTAGCAAGGTTATTCCATATTTGGGCCGTGTGACCTAGTTTTTGACCCCAGGTGACCTAGAAATCACCAGAATTCCCTTTCTGACCCAAAAACTATAATTTTTACAATCTTGGTAGAGTTCCACTTGCCAAATATCTTAACTCTAGCCTTTGTCAATCCTGAGAAGACAATTTTTTATGTTTTAACTATATGGACATAATAAAAATCAAAGACCCCCAGTGCGGGTCAAATTTTGACCCAAGGGCTATAATTTGAAAAATGTTTATTGCCAAATATCTAAACTCTATCCTTTTTCAAAACAGATTTTTTAAGTTTTAACTATATACATACAAGGAAAATCAATGATCCCTGGGGCCAGGCCAGCTTTAACCCCAAGACTATAATTTGAACTTTTTGTAGAATTTCATGAGATGATGCTACACACAATATAACTAAGTTGTATGCCATGCACTTTCAGAGAAGATGATTTTTAAGATTTTACTATATGTACAAAATGAAAATCAATGAACCCAAGGGCGGGGCCAATTTCACCCAAGGGCTTTTATTTGAACAATTTTAGAAGAGTATCACTTCACAATGTTTCATGCCAAATAACTAACCTCTAGCCTTTGTTAATTCAGACAAGATTTTTAAAAAATTTTTACTTAAGCGAAATCAATGACCCCTTTGGGCCAGGTCAATTTTTAACTCAGGGCTATAATTTGAAAACTGTTGATAGAGGTCTACTGTATTTTGAAAAATATCTAACCTCTAACCTTTGTCATTACAGATATGATTTTTAAAGTTTTTACTATATGCAAATAAGGAAAATCAATGACCCTTTGGGGCCATGCGAACTTTTATCTCGGGGCTATAATTTGAACAATTTTCGAAGAATTTCATTAGATGATGCTACACACAAAATTTCTAAGCTCTAGGCCTTGCACAGTGAGAGGAGAAGATTTTTTAAGTTTTCTACACTATGTCTCATGCTAAATATCTAACCTCTAGCCTTTGTCAATTAACAGAGATTTTTTAAAAATTTTACTACATACATTTGAGGAAAATTAACCCCTGGGATGAGGCAATTTTGACCCCATGGATTTTACTTGATTAATTTTTGTAGAATTTTATGAGATGACGCTACACACAAAATATCTAAGCTATAGGCTTTTCAATTTCAGAAAAGACCAAGATGTTGAATGTAGCAAACCCATTCGAACAATTTTAGTAAAGCTTTATGCTATGAACATCCAAAAAAAATCATCGAATTGGCCTTGTGGCTTCGGAGAAGAAGTCCTTTGTATAAAAAGTTGACGGCCGACGTACGGATGCACTGATTGACGATTGATCAAATTGTGATCATTAAAGCTTAGTTTGAGCACAATACTACCATATTGAATGTTCTACGATTACCTCTTTATGAACAGGAGAACATGATCTGAATTTCAACATAAAATATTCAGCTTAAGGCGGCGTATGGTGTGTCTGAGGGGCGGGGTTGTCATAACTATCTTAATAAAAGCCAGCCTTCAGCATTTAATTTTTGCCGTGATTGGGAACTTATCTACACTGCTTTACATTAAAAATTGTAGTACCGTATTTATCTTGAAATATTCCAGCAGATATGTTAAGTTATATTCAAAGAAAAAAAGGTGCTGTGATAATGTTTTTGTAGACTCAAATTTCAGTATTAACTAATATAGGTATCTTCCTACTACAAAAAGTAAGTCAAAACCATTTATTTGCTAACAAGTGGGGTGGGGTATTTCTGTTATTGGGATACGATATAAACTTTATTTTTTGGATTGTTTTTGATGCTATTTTTGTCATACTTCTGGTTTGAGTTTGAAAAATCCTTTTATCTTAGCCACATGGACAATAATAAACTGATTTGATTTTTATCCTCCATAAAAGTTTGTTTTATCCAGTTTATGTACATAAGTGAAAAAAGCACATATCTGTTCCATTTAATTCATATAATTCTAGGCAAATATACTGTTATTACAAATACAGTTCTGGCAGAGAAAGGGTTAGCCCAGTAGAATAGGTTTTATAAGCATTATTCTTACTAATAATTTCGAGCAATAAATTATAAGTTAATGTATACACCAGTTTCAAAGATACGAAAATTAAACAGTCTATGGTAACAAGTCGGGTTTTTCGGCTTAGATATACAGGCTGGCCTGACTCTTAACTGGTGGTGCAGATATGTCAGATCTGCAAACAACTAAGATTTAACTCACTTCAGTGATAGAGTAATACTTCTAGACACTTGCAGAAATCATGATCACAAAGTAGAAAAATATTGGATTTTTCGCTGATTCTTACATTTTCATAATCTTAAATAAATCGATGTAAAGAGATGAATAAGACCTCTTAAATTTCATTTCGGCAGGTAAAAGGTGAGGTGAGATTTTAGGTGTCAATCATTCAAGCCCCTAGACCTCTATATACTTGTATTTAGTCTGGTGCTCCAACACTGTTTCCAGTCTCACTCCTTTACTTTACCTATGATACATTCACTGCCAGCATATCCTTTATCACATCCTTCTGTACATTGGCCTGTTTTCTTGTCACATGGTTGACTTGATAAACAGTACCCGCACTTCTTAGTACAGTTAGATCCGAAAAACCCATCCAGACAGTCTGAAAAAACAAACAATGTTAGATAAAAAGAACAATGCTAGATAAAAATCAGTCAAATTTGTGTGTAAAGGTATGCATCTCAGAATGAGGATATGTTTATCTGACACATTCTACTTTTGCAGACTTAAATAATTATTACAATATGAATAAAATGACTATACATGTATATAGTATGTGTGTATGATTTTGAGATGGTCTTTAAAATGAATTTGATTTTATATTGTATACGCTTTTTCTCTAACTGGTTATATATACAATATGAAAGGGCGTTGTTTTGCGTATGTATGAGTTAAAGGGTTAACAATTATATCACACACTTTTGCTGTTTCTACAACCATCGGAGAATCAGCTATAACAACAGCAATTGCCACATGAACAATAATACACATATATGTTGTTGCTTCTACAACCACTTTAGCAGCAGCTGTAACAACAACTGGGACATAAAAAATAACCACTGATTTGTTGCCACTTCTTAAACACAAGAGCATTAGCTTCAAGACATCAGTGACATGAACAATATATGATAGATTTAATATTGCTTTATTACCACCAGAGCACCAGAAATAACAATATTAGTGACAATCACAGTTATACTTTAATTTGCTGCTCGCAAAAACTGGAGCACGAGCTACAACAACAACAGCATTATAAGCGTTAACAAATAAAAGACCTTTTTGCAATACCATATTTCAAAAGAAACGGGATTAGCATTTTGCACATGCACATTTTGCATAGGTCAACAAGAGCACCGCTAGGCGGAGAATTATATGCCCGAAAAAAATTTTTTCTTTACTAAGGATGAAGATTTTGTAAGACATTACATAAATTAAATAAAGTATTACCTCCTTCAAATAGCAATCCTCCTATAAAGTTTGAATATTGTGGGCCAAATGGAACTTCAGTTATGCTCTGGAAACTGTTTTTAGTTTTGAGGTAATAGCTACCTTGAACTTTGACCGTGTCCCCCAAAATCAATAGGGGTGTTCTATCCAATATGGACAATCATCCTATGAAGTTTAAACACTATGGGCCAAATAGAAATTGAGTTATGTTCTGGAAACTTTTTTTCAGTTTTAAAGTAATAGTGACCTTGACCTTTGACATTGTGACCCCAAAATCAATAGGGTTGTTCTACCCAATATGGACAATCATCCTATGAAGTTTGAATATTGTGGGACAAATAGACCTTAAGTTATGCTCTGGAAACTGTTTTCAGTTTTAAAGTAATAGTGACCTTGACCTTTGACCTTGTGACCCCAAAATCAATAGGGGTCTCCTACCCAATATGAACAATCATCCTATGAAGTTTGAACACTGTAAGCCCAAGGGAATTTAAGTGACGTTCCGGAAACTATTTTCAGTTTTAAAGTAATAGTGACCTTGACCTTTGACCTTGTGACCCCAAAATCAATAGGGGTCTTCTACCCAATGTGGACAATCATCCTATGAAGTTTAAACACTGTCGGCCAAATGAAACTTAAGTTATGCTCCGGTAACTGTTTTCAGTTTTAAGGTTATAGTGACCTTGACCTTTGACCTTGTGACCCAAAAATCAATAGGGATCTTTTACCCAATATGGACAATCATCCTATGAAGTTTGAACACTGTTGGCCAAATGGACCTTAAGTTATGCTCCGGAAACTGTTTTCAGTTTTAAGGTCATAGTGACCTTGACCTTTGACCTTGTGACCCCAAAATCAAGAGGGGTCTTCTACCCAATATGGACAATCATCCTATGAAGTTTGAATGTTGTGGGCCAAATGGAACTTCAGTTATGCTCCGGAAACCAAATTGCTAACGGACGGACGGACAGACGGACGGACGGATAGACAGACGGACGGACGGACGGACGCCAGGGGGTATAACATAATATGCCGAAATTCTTTCGGGCATATAAAAAAGCAATAACAAAAGAAAAGATTTTATCTCTTTTCAACAGCTTTATTAACCATTGATATATTCTAAATGATTAATCATAAGATGATAAATAACAGATGCAATGGTGAATCTAAGTAGTTAACTTGAACATACATTTGTCTCCATTCATCCACTATTCGGGGTCTTTCATACTTGAACAAACTTGGTAGACACTCACTAGAAAATATTTCTTGCTAAATATCTAAGATCTAGTCTTTGGGTTTATTAAAAAAGTATTGTTTCGTTTTTACTATATACATATAAGGAAAATTAATGAACCTCTGAGGCGGGGCATATTCTTTCTAAAACCTATCATTTGAACAAACCTGGTAAACGTTCCTTGATGATGTTTCATGCCAAATATCTAAGCTCGAGCTTATTGGGTTTTATAAAAGAATATCGCTTAGAATTAAATGTTTTGAACAATTTTCAAAGATGACCACAAAAGGAACATTCCTTTTAAGTTTAGATGAAATTAGCTTAGCGGTTTATGAGGAGATGTCGTTAAAGGTATAAGTTTATGGATGGAGACCGGAAGACTCCCGGCGAATTGTGATCACAAAAGCACACCTTGTAACTTTGTGACAGGTGAGCTAAAAATATAATCCAGCTACCAATCCTGCCAGTTTCAAATAGTTTACAGAATAAAAAAATAAATATTTATTTTTCTTCTGCAAACAATATTAATCAAAACGGCTGACTCACCCATTTCACAATATTTGCCTTTATATCCATTTTCACAACCATGACTACATTCAGCTGTCATTCTATCACATATTTGATGTTTGCAACCTTTGTTACATGTACTCTCACATGTATTGTTGTACCAGCCTGGTATACATCCTTCATTACAATACCCATCATGCTGCTCACAGCCTCCATTAAAACAATTTTTACTGCAACTATTCTCACACTTCTTTCCAAAGAAGCCAATTTTACATGCCACACATTTACCTGTTATTTTCTCACATCCTTTAGTATTGTCACAATTTTTAGCACATTGTAACTTACATTGTTCATTGTAGAACCCTAGGGTACAAGCCCCTGGGCAGTTTCCATCTTCTATGTCACATTTAATATCTCCAGATGATTCTTTCAAACAGTTGCCACACATTTTGCCACAGAAGTGTTCCTTACCATAGTATCCAATTACACATTGTTCACAACTTTTGCTGAATTGTTGGCATCTCAAACAACGCTTTTCATCATCACAATCAGTTTGACAGTGTACTCCTGTCTTTCCATCAATGCAACCTTTAGAACAATTTCCATCAACACTACACCAAGAGTCTAAATCTCCCTCTCTGTAACAGTTGTGACTACACTGACATTTTCTTGATGTACTCTCATAGCCAACTTTACACTTTGTGCACTCGTCTGCTGATTTACATTCTAGGCACTGTTTAGGGCACGTGTAACCACATGTAGGCCCATAACGACCCTGTACACATTCAGAACATTCGCTATAATGTCTGCAAGCTTTACAATTGTTTAAACATTTTGCACAATTATTACCCAGCAAAAAGTATCCTTTTTTACAAGTCATACACACATCTTTACTTTCACATGTTTCACATTGTTCTGGACATGTAAACCTGCAATCCTCTCCGAAAAGTCCATTTTCACAAATCAAACATTTACCATCTGTAACTTCACAATGTATACAATTTTTGATCCTACTACTGCATTTTAGGTCACACATGCTGCCATAAAAACCCTCTTTACAATTCCCAATACATGTTCCATTTGCTTGCATACATCCAGCATTTTCACAATTACTAGGACATGTTTTGTCACAATCATCTCCATAGTAACCAACGTTACATATATCTGAAAGTAGAAATCATACAATATATTTGAATATAGAACGGTTAAGGACTTTTTGGCAGCTATTATATAAACATATAAGAAAAATTAAAACTGTTCGGTAGAATTTCTTTAAACTTGGCATTTTCAAGCGCATACAACTTATACATACGTCAAAGAATTCTTGTTTTAATTCTGCATTTTGTTTTTCTATATATTGTTGAGCACAATACATAATAGCATGCATATTTCTGTTGTTTCTTTTTTTTTCAATGAAAATTAAGGTTCTTAAAATTCTTTAACAAATAGGTCATTTTTAAGACAAGAGGGCTATGATGGACCCAAAATCACTCACCTAAATATAAATCTCTATGAAAATGAACAAGTAATATTGTAAACAATCAATGAAAGCAGATATAAAATCTAAATCCTAAACTGATATCACAATGTTCATATTTGTATCGGAAATAGTGCATGACTGTGTAAAATTATTAATGGTTGCTTTATTATTGCTAAGGCAAAGCAACAGGTCCGAAAGAAAACCTGCAAACGGACGGACAGACAGACGGACAGATGGAAATTCTTTCGGGCGTATAAAAAAATTAATAATGCTAAATCTAATAGAATTATGGTACCATATATTTTTAAAGTGTAATCAAATTAAACTACATGGTAAAAGAATTTAATATTTAACAAAATCATTCCAAATACTTTTGAGAAAATCTAGGTAAACTTTGAAAACATGCGCTCATTTTGGTAAATTTAAGGGTTTTTTTTTAATAAGGCTGTATAAGTATGAAAATGGTCAAACACGTGTTAAAATGGGTTGGGTATGGTAACAATTCTATAAATATTTCATAAATTTTGAGAAGAAAAAATATTTTTGCTTATATGTATTGCTATATATATTGTTACCTGAATATTACTATTTTTTTCTTACCAAATATTAATGGGAAACAATTTTCATAAGGATGATATTGCAGATTATTTAAAGAAAAAATGGCCCTTCTTACATCCTAGTTTAAGTTCAGAAAAATGGCCATAACTCGATTTCCGTACGGTAAACTTTGTTTAAATGTTGCATACTGGTGTTCTTTAAGATATAGATTTGACCTATGTTGTCTATTTTTATGTTCCATATAGCGCCCGTTGGGATGTGAGAGGTCTGATATGATTTTGATTTTCAGGGAACAAACATATCGAAAAGGGATTTCTCCCTTATTGATCAATAATGCTTTTGTACTCATTTTAAGATCTTCAAATCTCATTTCTCTTATTCTATTTAGCACTGCGGTATTAATCCATATTTTTGTTCAATTTCCTTTAGTTTATTCAAATTTCCCAGACGTTATGTTTTCTTTTTTGTAACTAAGTTTTTTTACAAGGGTGGATTATGTAATTGATTTGGCGCAAATTTCCATAAGTATTTTTCATAGACAAAAATCATTTTTATACTGAATTTTATTTCAGTGTAGGTGATAATCTTTAGGTTTTTCTCCAGCATGTTTCGTTTAATTCAAAACTGTTTTGATTTGTTCAAAATTGTTTCTATCTTTCAATAAAGAGTAAATAAATTTTCAGAAAAGTTCCTTTTGCTATGTGTGTTTCCTATTAAGAATGGCAAAAGAATTGTCACTTCTGAATTCAGAACTTACTCTAAAATCATATACGCTTGAAAAAATGTTTTTTGAAAATAAAAAAGAGATCAAGTCTAATAATGTTTGCTAAGATGCTCAGGATTTTGAGTATACCACGTTTATTGTCTTGTCAGTCTCAATATGATATTTACGCCAGATAATCAATATAATTAAATATAGCGCAAAGTTTTAAAACCTTTTCTCTGGCATAAGTATATATTGACATCAATATATATTTTTGAGTCTTTTCTAGGATCATGAAGTTATTTAAATCTCCTGTTGAAATCATATTTGTGTTATTGTAATATACTATATCTTCCTTTGTATTTGAGTAAAACTGAACCAGAGTTCCTGAAGGGTTGTCATGGTGAAATTTTTAATTGAGCCCATTCCTTTATGAAATAAAATTGCAAGATTTCTTATCTTAAACAATTTTGCAGGACTTAACAGTTCCGATTTATTAGAAAAGAGCCAGTCCAAGAATTTGCACCAACAAATTTTTACCCTGCTGGAAAATGGTAAGCCTTAGCCGACTTGAGTCTGGTCAGGGCCATTTGTTTTGGCTGACATACTTTAAGTTTTTATCTTCTTATCTCTAAATTTGATGATTGGCTGTTTCAACAAAACTGCATTTGTGAAAAAAATGCTATGCCACTATATTATGAAACACGAAATTGTGGAAACATATGTATGTAGTTAGTTTTTGTTTCTATACAATTAAACTTTGAGATAATGCAGTAGTGTCAAGCGAATTTGAGGTCAAGGATATATGCAGCCGTATTTAATTATAATGTTAAAATACAAAGGCCATATGATGAAATTGTCCACTTGGAAAACGTTCATAGTGATACATAAACAAGAGGGTTATGATGGCACTGAAATGCTCACCGGAAACAATTGTTTTACAATGTTAGAATGAAATTTGTCGAAAGGCAAGTCCAGCTCAAATTCAACTCTCCCTTTAGGTTTATAGTTTCAAAACACTTACTATTTTGATTATTTCTTTATAATAAACAAGAGGGCCAAGATGGCCTAAGATCACTTACCTGACCCATTATTTCATTGTTCTCTATATACAAATGTATATTGAAATATCTTGTCCTATTATTTTGGAAAAAGCTTTGTTAAAATATCTATATTGCAAACTTGTGTGTTTATATTAGATTATGTAGAATAAATGACCACTTGAGCAGGGTAATTTTTGATGGGACAATTTTTCAAATATTTATTGTAAATGAATACACGCAAATGTCACATGCAAAATATGTTAGGTATAGGTGCTTGAATTTAACCATTTTGGACAGCAAATTTTTTAAAGCTTTTATATACATTCTAAATGGTAATATAACTGTTCGTCATAAAACAAGAAAGTAGGTCATATGATAACAAAAATATCAAAAGTACATCAGATGATACCAAAATTCAATACAAACATCAAGAATTACACACTTGGTCAATGTTCCATGTCTGTACTTCAAAAAGCAAGAAAGCAGGTCAAATGGTATCAATAATATCAAAAGTAGGTCAGCTGATATTAATTCATTCGGCGTCAAAATTTACACCAATAATTCAAATTTCAAGTCTGTACGTCAAAAAAGTAGGTCAAGAGATATCAAAAATATCAAAAGTAGGTCGGCTGATATCAAAATTCGATTCAGCATTAAAAAGTACACCCCTAGTCTTCTTTCAAGTCTGTATGTCAACAAAACAAAAGTAAAATGGTCAAATGATATCAAACAATTCAATAACAGCTCAAATGATATCGAAATTCAATAAAGCACATAAAACAGATTTCAGGTTCAATAGTGTTTCCCAAAATTTATTGAAATGTGCTTTCTCCAAGTTTGAATTAAGTTTTTCAAAAACATAAAAAAAAATACAATAAATTTTTAACAAAATTCAAAAAGCATACAAATAACGGTTTAAACAAATGTTCAAGAAAAACAAGCAATTACCATAGTATTGCAAGCAATCCATAAGTCCCCTACCTGATACAACTCCACCAACATTCTGACTGGTCATTCTGTCATTGAATTATAACATTGAATTATTACATTGAATGAACGAATGAATGAATGAATGAATGAATGAATGAATGAATGAATGAATGAATGAAGGAAGGAATGAAGGAATGAATGAATGAAACTAAATAAATTGAGTTCTTAGTTTGTCTGTATCATAGTAATGTGTTAAGATTCCCTAATTATGTTTATAGAACAGATGAACAAAAGGTCCAATTTTCTCATGTTGAATATGTATAACTGTCTCTATTTTAAGTAAATTTGTTGGAAAAGTTCCAATGTCTTTAAATGTTATCTCAGGAAACAGTTTTAAGAAACGGACAGAACGGACACAATTTTAAACATCCATGGTTGTTACCAGAATATAACAGTTTTAAAAGAGAAATTCTTAAACTGAGTGGAAATAACTCTTGAAATAGAGATGCTACACTTGTGAACATTGTTATACATGATGTGAGTCTAACAAAGCACAATTATCAAATGTTTAAAGATACCATTTTTAATCACAAAGACAAAAGTGATAAAATGTTTTCAAATATACCTTTTATAGTAACAAAGAAGAAATACAAAGAAAAATTCAAGTAAACTTCAAGTTCAAAATGAAAATTGATCATGGAAACCAATGTCGTATAAATCTTATCGCATATGAAGTAGTTGTTGATAATGAATGTCTATTTTAAATTTGAAGTAAATCCATGGAGAAATAAGAAAGTTAAAGAATGATTAAGAAAGATTCAAAGTTTAAGGAGGTGATAATTCTGGAAATATTGACTCTGGATTTTAAACCCTTATATAAAGTTGAAATTGATACATTAAGAAACTAGAAGAGTTTATGTCACAAAAACATATGTCCCCTAAAACTATGAACGGCCACTCATGTGAAGCATCATTGAAATCCCACAAGAAGCTTGACCTGTGAAAGCCGCAAAAAGAGTTTGCTATTTAGTACTGACGGCCATTTTGTGCAGCAAAGCAGAACATGTCGTGATATGCACAAGTAGGGATGGTAGTGAGCTCCTGTAAATGTTTGGTAGAAATCCCTCCAGTAGTTTGACCTGTATTTGCCTGACAGGATTTATACATTTAATAGCTCTTGCAAACATTTAATGCAGCATTTAAACAACCATGGATTGTACTGATCACTAATGTAAAACTTTATTGAAATCCTACCAGCAGCTTGACATGTGAAAGCTGGAAAGATCTTTCTATTTATAGCTCTGGCGGTCATTAAGTGCAGCGAAGCATAACATGCCGGGATATGCACATCTAGGGATGGTACAGTTCACTCTTGTGAAATTTCATATAAATCTAACCAGCAGTTCTATCTGTGAAAGCCGGACAATACTTTTCAATTCATATCTCTGGTGGTCATTATTTGTAGGGAAATACACAAAAAGGATAGTTCTGATCACTCCTGTAAAGTTAAAATCTCACCAGTATTTTTACCTGTGAGAGCCGGACAATATATTTCTATTTTAAGCTGTGGTGGCCATTTTGTGCAGCAAAGCAAAACATACCAGCGATGTGCACAACTTTGGATGGTAATGATCACTCCTGTAAAGTTTGGTTGAAACCCAACCAGTAGTTTGACCTGTGAAGACAGTACAAGATTTCTTTTGTGTTAAGCTCTGGCGGCCATTTTGTGCAGCGAAGCAGAACGTGCCAATGATTAGCAAAACTAAGGATGGTACTGATTACTCCCGCAAAGTTTAGTTGAATCCCACCAATAGTTTGTCCTGTAAAGGCCGGACAGGATTTTTTAATATTCAGCTCTGGTGCCCATTTTGTGCAGCGAAGCGGAACATGCCTGTAATGTGCACAACAAGGGCTGGTAGTAATCGCCCCTGTAAACTTTGGTTGAAATCCCACCAGTAGTTTTACCTGTGAAGACAGGGCAAAATTTTTCTATTTTTAGCTCTGGTGGGTGTGCAATGAAGCGATTTGTGCCGGTGATGCACACAAATAAGGATGGTACTGATCTCTCCTGTAAAGTTTGGTTGAAATCCCACCAGTAGTATGACCTGTGAGGGCCGGACAATATTTTTCATTTTTAGCTCTGGTGGCCATTTTATTCAGTTAAACGGAATGTGCCCGTGATGAGCACAACTAGGGATGTTATAAATTACTCCTGTATAAAAATTTGACCTGTGAAGGCCGGACAAGCTAAATGCAGACGGACAACCGGACAGACAACCGGACAGACGGACAGACAGACGCGAAGGCAAAAAACAATATGTCTCCAAAACATTTTTAATGAAAATTCTAAGGGGTGTTAGTCTGATAATTTTTGTCACATATGGTGTGGTTGATGATCAGAAACATATATTTAAAGTTTGAAGTAAGTACCTGAAGAAATAAAGAATTTATATTGAATAGCGTAAAAACTTGAATAATAGATATTGACGAGGTCGCCGAAACATGGTGAGTAGGACAGCTCTCAATATACTCCCTACAGTCAACACATTCCGTTTTGCCTTTGAACTACATCAAGATTAAAACATTTTAAACATGTAGTGAGTAACCTAAGAAGTGTTCCTGGATCTTGTTACAGAACCTGTTTCATCTCTTATGATTGTTAAGTTATCTACAAAAGTTTCAAACGGCAAATGACATTAGATATAATCTAATAAACTAGATAATCACACAAAAAAAGTGCAAAAATTTCCGGGAAAAGGGGACCCCCAAAAGACTACCCCCTTAAAATTTATACCATACCTCTGGTTTGAAAATTTTTAAATTTTCCCACTCAAAAAGACTAAAACCTTTGGGTCCATTGCGGGGCCCTGCTTTCACGATCACCAAAATAGCTATTTTCCCCTTTGATAACCCATAAACCAACGACCCCTTAAAAACCTTTAACCCAAAATAATAAACAAAATACGAAAGTTTTTCCTCAAAAAAGGGGGAAAGGGTTTAAATTAAAAAGTTTCCCAATCAGTTTTTTAAATAAAAGTTTTCCTACTAAATATACAAACATGTCAAAAAAATCCCTGTATGAGAAAACAATAAAATTTTTAAATTTTATAAACAAACCATGCATTTTAAATCAAAACTGGACAAGAACCATGGTTACATGGCCATCCCCCGCTGAATGTGTTTGCTCATTGGAAGAATGTATATGCAGAAGAGCAAAATAATTCAATTTTAAGGGGTCATTTTGTTATAGAAAATGATGGATGAAGTGATTACAGATATGAAACCTATGTAAATACTGATGGCTTAAAAATAACAAAGTGCAATTAAAAAAACTTAAAAATAATACAGGGTAAGTAATCACGTGTGTGATGCACTCCTTCTCAATGAGATCTATCCACATGAAGTTTCAAGTTGATACCTCTTTTTGAGATAAGATCCGGACAAAAAGTATAAAATTACAAAGAGCAATAACTAAAAAATAATAAAATGTAGAATTATCATTCTTGCGCACAACATTCCTCCTCAATAAGATAAATCCACCTTATTTCATGTTGACATCTCTAAGATCTTTAGAGTTATGCTCCACTCAGGTGAAAAATTAAGTATGAAAAATAACAAAAGGCTATAACTCAAAATTATGAAGGGTAGAGTTATCACTCTTGTGCACTGAGTGAAATATATTCATCTGAAGTTTCATTTTGATATTTCAAAGGCTATTTGAGTTATGCTCCGGACAAAAATTAAGTTTGAAAAAGTAACAAAGGGAAATAAATGAAAAAATATGCAGGGTAGAGTTGTCATTCTTTTGCATTGTACTCCTCCTGAACATGATCTTTCAACCTATGAAGCTTCAGGTTAATACCTCAAATCGATTAGGGATGGAAGGACGGACGAATGGACGGACGAAAGGAAGGAAGGACAGACGGACGGAAGGAGTCTAAGTTATATTTTAAGTTTCAAGTGAATACCTTATATATTAATACTAAATGAATTACTGTCCGAGAAAATATGCATGAAAAATAACAAAAGGGCAATAACTGAACAGGAGCCCGGTTTGAACCGGGTGATGCTCCCCGAATAGGTTTTAGACGCAGGAAAGTACACCTCTTGTAGTTTCAGAGTTATGTCCCTGGGAAAAGTTCAAAGTGCAATATTTCCAAAATAAGGCAAGGCAAAGTTACTGTTCTTTGCACTGCAATTTTCATCAATCCAACCTATCAACCTACAAAGTTTCTACAAAGCACCTCTTATGGTTTTTAAGTTATGTCCTGGACAAAGTTTAAAATGTAAAAATAAACAAAGGGCAATAACTACAAAATTTTGCAAGGCGGAGTTCCAATTCTTATGCACTGCACATATACCCATTGCGATCTATCTACCTACAAAGTTACTATGTCCCGGACAAGATTTTTTAAAAGGGGAAATAATTCAAAAATGGGTCAAAACAGAGTTATGGTTCTTTTGTACTGTACTTCTTCTTAATAAGATATATGAACCTACAATGTTTCATGTTGATATCTCTTCTAATTTTTGAGTAATATCCAAAAAATGTTCAAAAAGTAAAAAAAACAAAGGGCCATAACTCCAAAATAAGGCAAGGCAGAGTTACTATTCATGTGGCAATGCACATCTAAACCCCGTTGAGATCTATCTTCTTAACCCAAAGTTTCATGTTGATATCTCTTATAGTTTTAACAGCTTTGTTCTGGACAAAAATTTTCTTAAAGTGGAGATAATTCAAAAATGAGGCTAAACAGAGTTATGTTTATTTTTGCACTGCACTTTTACTTAATGAGATCTATCTACCTACAATGTGTCATGTTGATATCTCTTATAATCTAAGAAGTATGTTGCGGACAAATTTCAAAGTATTTAAATAAACAAAGGGCAATAACAAAATAACGCAAAAGAGACTTATGGTTTTAGCGCACTGCACATATACCCATTGAGATATATTTACCTACAAAGTTTCATGCTGATATCTCTTTTAGAGAAATGTCCCGGACAAGATTTTTCTAAAAGGGGAGATAATGTAAATATTGGGCAAAACAGAGTTATGGTTCCTTGACACTGCACTCCGTCTCA